TCTTTTCTTCTCCCCTTTTACCTCCTCTTCCCTCCCTCTATCCCTCCCTCTTCCCTTTTCCCTCTTCTATCCTTTCGGAAGCATCCTATTTCCACCCCACACGCCAGACTTCCCTGTCTGTCGGGTTTCGAGGGTGACAAGTCACTGTTTGCTTGCCTTCTGCCTCGTTCACTCGTGGTAGAGCCCGCCTGGATTTTTCTTCAAGAGGGCTATCACTCCTTTTCACGTAAGTTCTGTCTGATGGAAACTATATCCCCGATTTCCGTGTCTTCCATTCTGCCACATCCACCACCACGCCGTCCAAGAGAACAGAAAGGGAAGAACCAAAAGATATATTATTTCGGACCGCTATACTCGTCAACTTATTCTTGCTATTTTCCATCCTGAATTGAATTTGATATGTGCTTTGTCAAATGGAATGCGCCATGCCTGTGCCGATCGTGGAGATAGGAAGATCCTTTTTTTTTGGTCTCAAGCAAGAGAGAAAAAAAAACACAAAAAAAAAAGTTTCTCGGGTGCGCAGAGTCAAAACTTCGGAAACCGCCAGGAATAAGCCGGTCGATGTCATCGTTGCTCGCCATCCACCTCTCCTCTTCTGGATTTCTCAGTCAACTGGCCGTTTCGTTAAATCTTCCCTTTCTGGTTCATCTCAGCTGGCGGTCTTGCTGCACCCTCATGGATTGATTCCGGGTTGAAGGCTCACGCTTCTCTTTTTCAACAAAATTAGATCTCTCCTGAACTCCCTCCAGCGGATCAGATTCCCTCGCCGCGCCCACCCAACCCCCTTCGGCCTCCACGATCCCTTCTGACGCTCCGTCGCATCCCTTTTGGTAAAGATGGCGTACTACGAACCTCAAGGCTGGCAAGCCCCTAGCACGCGCCAGGCATCATGGGAGCATCCTGTTCAGCCCCCGTCGCGGTCAGGTATGGGTTTATCGTACTCCGTGCTCTTTTATAAGAAAAGGACCTGAAACTGATATCGATATGATTAGGATCCAGCTCCGTCTCTCAGCGCGAGGAAATGCCGGCCTTTTCGTCGCAGTTCGATGGTACGATCACGAATTCCACCCCTTCCTCGTTTCTTGTTTCGCCTCCTCCTGCAATGCCACCTTTCGGTCCTCTACTGTCCATACAAAAATCTCCAATATTTGGTTGTAATGGCCACATGTGATTGAACGGGGGCAGCACAGCGGATCAATAAAACCTTCTTCGATAACAGTTGGAATGGAACCCGTTTGGCTAATTTGTATCTCTTTTAGAGGTCGACCGTGCGATTGATAACCTGGTCAAGAGCGGGAAGTTGTGGACAGCTCCCCGAAGAGATTCGATGCCCATGATGATGGGTCGGCCATACCCTGACTACGGTATGATGGTATTCGCACTGCTTCTCGGCCAATGCTAATGTCCGGCCTCAGATCCTCGCGTCTCAGGAAACGTTTCTCAGCGCCACCATTCGATCAGCGAATTTGACGGATCGAGAATGCACCACACCCCCAATGTCCAGGGATACTACGCTTCCCAGCGTTTCCAGCAGGGTCGCCCTAACGAAGTAGAACAGATGATGCAGGCGAAGCGTCGGATGGCAGCTCAACGTGAGAGGGAACTCCGCAACTATCACCAGGAGCAACAGTACAACCGAAGTACGTGGTAGCATCTTGTTTTTTTTTTTTTTTTTGGATATTTTCTTCCTCATTCTCCTGATTATTCCCCCCATGACACTCGAACTTCCACATTCATGCATGTATTCATTGTTTTGTATAATACTTCTGGGGTTTGACATTTCTTGAACATGAGTTTTAATTTTTCTTTATTCTAAAGGCCTGCTTGCCGAAATGTCCGGAGCCAAGTCCGATCGCTCGCTCAGCCCGGCCGCCATGAGCGAGGAAAGCCGCCGTGAGCTCCTCTCCCGTCAACATAGGGCTCTGTACGGAAACGAGAGCCCCGCCTTCTTCCCTCCAAGCAACTTCGCGGACGACAACTCTCGACCAGAGAGCCAGGCCGGCGGCACTCCGTCTTCCGCTGCTGGTGTACGTGCTTTTTCGCCCCGTGGCATTGACTCCTATGGGAATCCCCAGATCTCGGCCCAGGATAGCACTGATGGCATTATCGCTCAGGCCGCTGCCGGCGCAGCATCCCTCCAGTCTCCTTCTCGCGCCAACAGCACTGCGTCCCCCAGTTCCGGCATCAATCCCGTGTTCGGCAAGTTCGAAGGTGCTGATCAACCTGTGGCCTCGTCTTCCTCCCCGGGTAGGGCCGACTCGCCCTCGTCGAGACAGCCCTCCGGCAAGCCCACTGCTGGCCCCATTGGCTCCGTTGGCCCCATCGGCTCTCGCCCTGTTCAGCAGTCCGGCCCCGCTCAAATGTCCAATCCCGCCTTGAACAAGCGCTCCACTACTCCTTTGCCCTCTCCCCTGGGATTTGGGTTCACATCCAGCGACGGAGTGGCCGCTGGTGCCAATAACGACCGTGCAGTTTCCTCTGCATCTAACCCCACTGCCTCCGCGTCTGCCACCAATGCCGGCGTCAAGGAAGCCTCTGGTGGTGTTGGACTTGGCTGGGGCAACGGCAGCGGCGTCTGGGGCTCCAAGGGTGGTCTTGGTGTTCAGGCTTCTGTCTGGGGTTAAACCACGCAGGTCAGACATCTGAGAGTTCTCCGGGTTTGATTGACTCTTACTGCATTTGATCGACATATGTTCACTTCCTACCGTGGCGTTTCCGAGACAGGATTTCCTTTGGTTTTTAATTTTTTCTTGACATATTGGGACAGAGCATGGTACATATTCCGGAAAAGAAGTGGTTAAGGGAACCGCCATCGAGCACTCCCTTTTGGTTTTTGATCCATATGTGGACAGTTAATTTGGGACATGGTTGGGTTACTGACTTGAGGAACTTGGTTGGCCTGTTGGTTTCCGGAGTCGGTATATCCCCCTTTAGTTTATGCTTGCATCTTGTGCATCTTGTCTCTCTTCTGTGGTTGTTTGTCTTGCTATTTCCCCCCTTTCCCCATCTTCCATTTGCATCTTACCTTCCTTCTACGATCTGAGTGTCCGCAGCTCTTTGGGTCAGGGATTGTATCTGCGCGTTTGCGAGTGTATCTCATGGGACTCTCTTATCTCGGCTCTTTGTTACGGAGGGGTTCCCGGTGTTTTTCATGTTACTTTGCTGGGTCAGGTTTTTCGGGTTGCGAGTTCGGTCGAGGGATTCTGGACGCCTAATGTTGTTTCTTTTTTGATTTATCTCTTTTCTTTCCCCCCTTCATCTTTCCTTTCGTCTTGTCGGCTTTTGGGGGTGTGGTGCTTCGGGAGGGGAAAACGGATTACTGGGTGTGGTGCTAGCCGATTTCATTTCATTTGATTTCTCTTTCTTTATCATATCTGTCTTTCCAAAAGTGCCACGGGAGTTGGATTTGAAGATCAGTACATTTCCCTTTTTTTCTTCTTTTTTTGATAAATTCCCTATCTGGCATCCGTCTACTCCTTTTCTTTCTTGATCTGCTTCAAACTCACATTGGAATTTGGCATTGATCACTGCATTGATGATTTGATCGCCATCTCTTCTCTCTACTTTATTTCCTCCCTGTACTATCTGCTCTTCCTTTTGATTACAGGGGGTCCATGATCCATCCTTGTGATATGTTGTCATTCATGTGTTTTGATCATCGATGCATGGACAGCACACAAAGTAATTATTGCCACAACCCTTCGTACAGTAAAAGCTGGCTATCCTACAACAGATGGGGGAAGGGCTGTGAATTATGCAACCGGAAAAACATCTACCGATTGAACATCAACATCGTAGTATTAATATGTACTTCTATATCTTGCATCAAGAGGGCATCAGAACCAACATACATCGCAGACAGACCGTCGACAACACGAAAACAGAACAAGAACTTTTTGCACACGCCCATGCCTTGCCATGTCATTCTCAGACATGGCCTGCGCTCGAATTAGCATTAGAGGAATCATCGATCAGACGAGAACAGAGCAACGCCAAAAGAAAGCAGATCCGTCACATAAAGCCATTACTACACGGCATTGGTGTGACGATCGCCGATCACGGCGGCTTGTTGGTCGTCCCCACGCGCACCGTTGGCATTAGGATATTGGCCATCTTGAGGCGCCGATGCGGTAGCGAGGGTTGATTCGATCTTCCGCCGTGCGGTGAAGAGGCCCGCGAAGCCGCGTTCCTGGTTCTTGCCGAGCCAGGGCTTGCGGGATTCTCCCAGAACTCTCTTTCCGAGGAAGTAGATGAGCTGGCCGACGATGATGCAGACAAAGGCGATGGGATACATCCAGTGGATGGTGTAGTGGAAGACCTTGATGCCGATGCACACACCCCAGAAGTTCATGGTGAGCAGGGAGATGTTGAAGAAGGCGGCGGACGAGAGCCGGAACATGAGCGGGGCCATGCAGTAGAAGAAACAGAGGCAGAGCACGAATCCGGTCAGGTAGCCGCCGACTTGGCCGTTCCAGACGGCATCGCGGAACGCGTCGCGGTCGAAGATCCCCGTCTGGGCGCCGCTGATGATCATGCCCCAGAAGGCCATCTGGCCCAGCACCTCGTACACGGGCCGGCTGCTCACGAAATATTCCTCCGCGGTGTTGGTGAGGCCGTAGAAACTGGCGCCAAGCAATGCGAAAAGGTCACCCTTGATCTGATTGCCGCGGGTGGCGTCGCCGCCGTTGGCCCCGGTGATGTGATCGGATGCGATCAATACACCCATACCACCAATGCAGATCAAGATACCCAGGATCTGTGTGATGTGGTAGCGCACGCCCAAGAACAGAAAGGAAACCACAACGACAACAGCAATGGCCCAGAAATTGATCAACTGGGCGCTAAGCATAGTCGTATACCGATATGCCAGCACAACGAAGTAATTGCCCTCGACGTCACAGAAAGCTAAGATAATATCTAAATCCCACCAAAGGATTAGATATGGACAACAGCAAGCCGAAGTGTTGGAAGAGTCAAAAAACACTCACATTTCCAGCCATCACGCCAGACCATCCGGAGCCAGCCCTTGAAGCCATAGCGGTAGACGGTATAAGGTGTGAAGATAATATTCAGCAGAACATAGTTGAGGAACGACTGAAAAGCCGGGATCGAATTGCCCTGCATACCGAGCAGACTGCTGAAAGTACCAGTACCGGTATTTGCGATGGCCAGCACCTGACTGTAGCCCAGAGTCAGACTGAAGGCTCGAGATAGTGTTTTCCCATGATATTCGCAGATGTGCTCACCCAAGTATCAGCGTGATCCAGAACTCCTTGGTTGTAAAGTATGCCCAGAACCCCTTCTTCTGCGTTTCGATGCGATCCGCAATGGCATCGGAGCCCGAGTCCTCATCCTGCGCGTCCAGGCCGACAGTCACCGGATTGCCCTGCTTCGACGGCTTGAAGTGCGCAGCGGCGGTGGCGTCGGGAGCGGCAGATGAGGTCTGCACCTCGACTGGATTCTTGGTATCTGACATCGCGACAAGATAGAGAAAGAGGGGTGTCGAAAAGTATCGTGGTTGAAATTAGGGCGTTTCAAGAGGGTCTCTGACAACGATTCGACCGCGGGGGAGGGGGGCGCGAAGGACAAGACTTTGCGGTATGGGGAACTATAGCAGGAGGCGCAGTCAGTCGATAGAGGGAGCTTTTTGACCTAAACGAGCGCAAAACTCCCAGAAGTCGCTCGCCTTGGGTCTTTGATGAGGATTCGCACTCGGGAGGAGTGAAGACAAAGTCAACGCAAGCTGGAGGAGAAAGAGGAGAAAAACGTGGGAACAAACCGCCATAGCAGGGAAAAAAAAAAGCAAGGACGCTGAGTGGAGCCGGTCTTAACCAGATTGAGGGTTTTTCGCTACGGGACGCCGTCATTAATTCGATAAGAAAGATCCAGAGAAGATCGAGACCTCGTGGGGGGTTGCAGCCAATCAGCTTGGGGCTTGGGCAAATACATGGTTGCAGGTTGGATGAGCTCATAATTTTACTCCAGCGAGTGAATAAGTCATGTGATGCTTATACTACCCTTTCTGTTATTTTACTAAATTAAATACTCTATTAAACTTAAGTACTTAGAAATTACTTATCTAATTATGTATCTATACTAAAAAAGTATAATATAAAGTAACTTATTATACTTATAAAAGATAATAGATATTATTATTTGAAGTACTTACTACGTAGTTAATATAATTATTTTTTATTATAGCTATTAATATATATATCTTTAGTAGAGAGAGTAATATACTTATTTAATATAGATTATTAAAAATAATTTTAAGTACTTTTTAAGTACTTAAAAATTATTTATATACTACTTACCTTTCTAGATAAATTCTAAGTAGTTTCTAAGTAGTTTCTAAGTACTTTAAAAATATATAAGTTACCTATATTATACTTTTTCTATATAAATAAAAAAATAAACAACAGTTTTCCTTGTGTCTTTTCACCCAACTCACGTCTTCTTACCTATGTCAAATTTTGACATCAATATTGCAAGCAAACATACTAAGAGCGCACAAGGTAACATTCAAAAGAAGATTTGCAGCAGAGATGTTCAGGAATCCCTGAGAGGTCGCACCTGATGCCGTATCTTCAGCATTCAGTCAAATACTCAAGCCTCTACCGGTCATATCATGGGGACAGCTTGCAATGTATCATTTGGGTGTCCCAACTGGAGCAGGCGTGAGTACTTCATTTCTTGCTATTTGGTCTTATTCTTACTGACTATCATGGCAGCATCACATGTTTGTTGTCCGAGACGAACATCATCAGACGGCGATTCAGAAGCTCAAAGACTCTGGATTTACTCAAGCCCCTCCTGATCGCCGGCCCGCCCCTGAATTTATGGAGTCGCTCCCAGATCCGCAAGCCGTTCTTGATGAGATTAACAAGGGCTACGAACGCCTAGACCGTTATTGCACGTCATTCCAGTTCCCGCCTCACCTTCCGTTCAGCGGGGATCAAATATTCTTAATCCCCAACTCCTTCGCGCATTTACCACTGGACAATGTCGACATGACTTCAAATCAGTCAAACCAGAAGGCTCAACCAAAGCAATATGAAGTGTATGGCAACTTATTCTATCCACTTGAAGCAGCATTGGTTGAGAGCTTTGTCAAAGGAGTCATTCATGACATCGAGGAGGTTGGATATTCGTCGTGGCAGTTGCTACTAAATGCCTGGATATCAATGATGCGGGGCTATCTCGAAGTCAACAATGATATCCTTGATGACTGTGCGGATGAGCGGGCAGTAGGATGGTATAGCACGCACTTTGGTCGGATTCACGAAGACCAGTATGGTGAATGGGACCTCCGGGTTTCAAAACGCCTTGGTTCTGGAAAAGAAATGCTAGCGGACATGAGGGGAAATCCTATTCCCTGATACTTCTACTGCTTGAGGAGGCCAGCGGTGAGTTTTAAAATCCAGATAATTGAATGAGGAGAACAGAGTGTTAAGTAATTCTCGAGTGCGTGATATGTAATTTATGCAATGTATGCAAGTAAGGTCGGTAGCATGTACAAGCAATTCGGTGGTGGGCATAAAGATTGAGGCCTCCTGTTCCCTTCCCTCTTTCCCCTTTCTTGAAAATCTTCTCATCCTATTCCTTAACCTAATAGACGCAGACAGAAAGAACAATGAGCACGCTCAAGGATCAACAACAGCAAAAAATCAAGCGGAAGCAACAGAGCTAGCAACTGTGTAACCCTTTCAGACACGGTAGTTTAAACAGCATGGAACGAGGACGTGCCTTAAAAAAGCCATGCCGCAAACCACCTCCATAGCATCCACATAAACCCCAATTAGTACTTCATTCTGACAAGAACGACAATGGGGCGTACCAGTTGCCGAAGATCGCTAGACATTTGATCTTTTGCTTTAGGGCCTATCGCATTCCTAGCCAATTTTCCAGTAGATCTACCAATGCAGCTCTCAACTCTTCAATATGTCTAAAGTCGAGTTCCGGCGTACCAGGCACAGTGAGAATGATCAAGTGTTCCACATCACGAATATCACTCTGTGATTTTGGGCCCTTCCGTTGATACTGTGACAAAATCTTCTCACGCAGAATTCATTCAGGACTGAATGTCTTGACAGAATATCCATTGATTAAGTTAGACTATAGCTACCTAATGGAGGGGAAAGATGTTAAATAAAAGCAGCATGGTCAGCAAAGCACAGCAAAATCTAACTATAAAATATGCTAATACTTACACTTTCTTAAATCATTATCTTCCATGACACATCAACACTAATATGTAGAATGTTATGAACAGCTACAAATCTAATAAGTCTCTGATGCACACTATCACCTAGATAAGTAGGTGGATTAATAAGATATGCCCTTAATACCTTACTTTGGAGCAACAAGCATCCCTTCATGAACATCTAGAGTATGTTAAGGTAACTTAGTAGATAAGAGAGCAAGCTGAAGCATGTAAACATGATCCTAGTGTAGTAATATAATTATGATTAGAGAAATTAACATATGAAATCTCCAATATATTTAGTTAGTTGGAAAGAGCACTGAAAGCAGAAGGTTCGCCATGAGTTCAACCACAAACAGGCCATAATAGACATTGAGCGACAGCTCTCAGGGGCTGCTGTTAATGATAAAGAGGCAAAGAAGGTACTCTAAGTAGAAGACCAGATGCTACTGGAGTAGATTAATCTTCTTAGGAAATTATTCACCTGGCCTATATCCCAATCCTAGGAAGTGGAGTGGCAAAGAAGAAACACTACTATGGCTGTGATCTCTTGATCCTGTTGTTTCCTTGAAGGTGGACCATTATGTGGGCAATATAAATAGTAAGCACTAAGTGATGGGTTTGATAAAGAATAGACTAATATATTATTTAAGATAGCTAAGAACAGATGCAGCTTTCCAAGGCCTTTACAGTAGGATATTCTTCTCATGAAAGCTAAAAAATTATATCAAAAAGGCCAAGAAGCCTCAGTAATATTTTTAATGTTATGGCAACACTAAAATTTCTATTCATTACCAGATACAGAAATATAGTAAATATAAGTTAACTTTATGACACTTTTGAGAGAAGCACTTACAAGATTAAAGGTGTCATATGTGTAACAAAGATCTGCTACATAAGATATATCTTCACAGGCATGTAGAAGAGGTTCATCACCTCAGCACTGAGCGGAATTACTACACCAAAGAAGATATGGGATTGGACATTGATACTGATTAATTAGGAGGCTTGCAGGTTTTCTGTCAAATTGAAGTACATACTCTATCCTTTGTCTATGCTTAAGAATAATCAACCTCATATCCTATAGTTGCCACCGACTATTGTGAAACTGGTGGCAGATCTGCTTTGCTTCCTTCTCCTTTGGTGAAGAATTTACGAAATTCTTCGACAGAGTCTGACAGCACAGTCTATGTAAAAACTTCTATATAGCAGGAACTGCTACATAACAGGGCAGTCTATGTAGAAAATGTTATATAGTAGAAACTGCTTTTGCCATACAGCAGCATGGAGAATCGCTAGGGCTGCCTAGAGGCGGCCAGCAGAATGCGCAAAGGAGCCCAATACAAATAGCGACTACGAACATAAACGCATTTAAGCCTTTGAGCCTTTAATGAGACACTATATAGATAAACTTCCGGGGCAACTTTTAAATGACATATCATACTTTAAGTAGGAAGCTTGAGGGCGTTACGCCGACGCCAAGCACCGCCCTATCTCCGGGTTAAAACCGAATGACTGGGAGCAATCTTGGAACTGACAACCATCTGCTTGAAGATGCGACGCTTTTCGAGATTTTTTAGTCCATACTCGAAGTCATTACTCAGGAGGGTGTCCTCTATGGGTGGTAAGCCTGATCTGTTTGAGTACACTTCTGGGCGCTTTTTGTGAGTCGTGACGGCGGTTAGCTGTTGAACGCGTCAATTGCGATAAACTGACTTGCTTCGTCAAAATAGATTTAACGAAGAGCTCCGCCGCGCTGAACGCCGTATTCAATTCGACGTGGATGCTCTTGCAAGGTGGCCTGCCATTCTGTCGGTCGACATGTCAATAACGTGGCCTCGATCACAAAACTCGCGGAGGGGGGCTTCAACCGTGTCTTGCAAGTCACCTTCGATGACGGATATGCAGTTCTTGCAAGGCTACCGTACAAGACAACTGTCCCGAAACATTATGCAGTGGCCAGTGAGGCTGCTACACTCGCACTTCTGCGTGCTCATGGGGTCCCAGTCCCAAAAGTCCTTGCGTATTCTCCAGATCAGACAAACGCCGTTGGAACCGAATATATTCTACTTGAAAAGCTTGAAGGAACACCCTTGAGTGACCAGTGGTTCTCCATGGATACCAAAACTCGGGTCAAAGTAATGAGACAGATTGTTGATTTGGAGAGACGATTCATGAGCATCCACTTCCCAGCAAGCGGAAGTCTGTATCACCGCCGTGATCTCGAAGGCTCACAACACTTTATCCCAGTCTCGGACGATATCGTCGTTGGCCCAACTGCACAGCATGAATGGTGGTATCGAGAACGGGCCTCTCTGAAGGTTGACCGCGGCCCATGTAAGTCTTCATCCAGGAGTGCCTGTTTTCTTTGGGGATATTGACTCTGAGCCAGGGAATACCTTTTCTGCATGCTTCGAAGCACCTGCAAAGCGCGAGATAGAATTCTGTGAAAGATTTGGCAAACCACGCTTACACGTCGAAAGATACCTACGAGAAATACACCAGTTCCAAAACCTCTCACCTATTCCGTACCAACATCTTCTTACCAATTATTTAAAGTTAGCGCCCTACCTCGACGTCCCATCCGGCCACTGCATGTCTCGCCCGACTCTTCGCCATCCGGACTTTTCACCTAACAATATCCTGGTGAATACGTCTAACGACGTGGTAGGGATCATTGACTGGCAGCATGCAGTCATTCTACCCCTCTGTCTGTGCGCTGGAATCCCCGATCATTTTCAAAATTGGGGCGATCCATTGTCCGAGACATTATCTAAGCCAGAGGTCAAATTGCCAGACAATTTTGATAAACTTAGCGATGAAGAACAAGGAACTGTTCAAGAGACGATGCGGAGACGGATTGTCCATTTCTATTATGCTGCGTTGACCATGAAATCCCTGCCGGATCATTTTGACGCCATCAGAACCGAAAACTGTATGCTTCGAGCGAAGCTTTTTCACCATGTACAGGCTCCCTGGGAAGGGGACTCTGTCTCGTTGAAGTATGCCATGTTACAGCTCCTCAAGAATTGGCCTATGTCGCTGGATGGAGGAGCACAAATGAGATCTGTTGAGTGTCCAATTCAATTTTCTGGGCAAGAGATGCAGAAATGTTCGGAGGATCATCGCCAAGAACAAGAGAAACTACAGGAACTAAGCGAGATGAGGGATCTAATCGGGACAGATGCCCTAGGCTGGGTTTCAGATGAGGATGAGCTTAAACGGTGCAGGGCTATCATCCAGAGCATCAAAGACGGTTTGATGGAACATTCAAGCACTGATATGGAGAAAATTGCGGTCCTTTCCCATTTTCCTTTCGATGATCATGAAGAAAATGCGTGATAACTTCAGTTCTCGATCTTGATAGATAATATTTATTCATATATAGCTTACGGACATCTGAAGATAGCTGGTCCCGAATTTGAGCAACAGATGATCTTCCACGGCGATTCGCTCGTAGTTCTCGAGACCTTGTTCTCTGCTAATTGGCTGGAGATCGAATCGTCTGGCATTTTCAAGCGCAATCAAGGGTGTGAACAACCTTGCTTGGGCTTCCTCGGCTGGCTGTAGATAGTTGCACACAGAGCTGTAGATCTTTTGTTGTCGAGCTGAACAATCGGTCCCCGCCTGTATCCTGTCGTTGATAGAATTCCTTTTGATATTTTCAGACTACTATTTCGACTAAAAGAAGAAGAAAGCCCTGGGAGACATTCCTCTTATACTCCCAAACAATCCAATTCATCTGTGGGTAGGAGGGAAATCTACCTCCAACTACGACGAAGAGATGACGCGCGCATATGAACAGGTAGGCTTCCCAAAGAGGCTTATGAGCTATCTAGTGACTTATACCTTATATGCTACTGGTAGTATACGAAAAAGTGTAAACTTTTTGCTCATCCCAATATGAATGGTTCGGGCATGATCATGATCTTCCCGCCACAGCTCTGAAAGAGTGGTGCAATACACCGACGGATCACTTAAATTGGCCTATACATATTACTGAGGTAGGACGGTCGCCGCTCAGTGAGGCTATAAACTCATCATCTAATCGCAATTGTGGACTAGGAATACTTGTTGAAGGACATTGGATGTGATCTCAACTGGAAGATCACTTCGCGGACCGTTCTGATATGCAACCGCAGCGCTTGTTTAAGTGAGTACTCCCATATATGTGTCATGATCACTTGGATTGATATACTTCTATTCCAGACAAGATTCAGGGCCATGTTATTTGAGTCGCGACAGCCAAGACATTGACAAGCATTTTCTGGACAAGGTCGCAAACCATCTGCTCTTCATTTTGCCATGAAATGATTTCGCCATTCTGGATGGTCTCAACCATGCTACTGTTCGAGTTCTGGTCGCGCTCAGAATATGCGACTCCCCTCAGGAAAGAGCTCGAATTCGCTCTGGAACTAACAGAGGATCAATGGAGTTTTGACTTGTTCAAGCACACGCCCAAGTTCGAGAGCTTTACAAAAGAGACCAACTCAAACCGGGGAATAGCGGTCTTGACACACCTTCTTCGGTGCCTTTGTTCTTGCCACCCGCGGCATGAACTGCCTCGCAAGGTGCGCCTCTATATGAAGATTCGCTCCTCACGTTGGAACTCCGCCCAGAATGCCCAGAATTTCCAGCCTTGCGGCCCTTGCGGCGTGTGCAATAGCGCACCTGGAGGGAGCCTTCCAACCTTCCAGGGAAATACTCTGCGATTCGCTTCCATGGCAGGCTCCGCTCTTCCTTCAATTCAATCAAAAGCTGGTCGTCCTTAGACAGGAATCGGGTTGGCCCGGTCGTTTTCCCAGCGCGGGACCCTTTCTGAGGGGGTTGCTTGGAAGAAGATAGGTAGGCAACTCCCCTAATATTAATCACTAACTTTGACTACTACTCTACCATGGTGTATTATAACCCTATTATTTCTATAATTTAGGGTGGCTTCCTATAATAAATTTATAGATTAATAAGGCCTCTTCTACTAGTAGAGTAATTTAAATAACTACTTCTCTGAGTATAGATATATAAGCTTATACTATATATATACTTTATAAGATCTTTTTATATTTCTTTTATTTTTTATTATTAATATTATATTTTTTAAAATACTAAAGAATCTATTTCTAAAATTATTCTATTATATAAGTATTTATTATTAAATTATATGATACCCTTATCTTATTTATTTCTTAATATTATACTAGAATTTTAGATAGAATAATAATTTATTATATAGATTATATAAGCTATAAATACTTATTAATAGTCTTAGTAATTATATATATAGGGTATGACTTATATAAGTAGTCCAGACAGCTTATATAAGCTGTATACATGGCAAATACAGGTTCAAACTTGTGTACATAGCTCACATGAGTAGTCCAGACTGCTTATATATAAGGATCTATGATCCGCAAGAATTAGAAACTAGTGTGAAAGAAGAATGATTATAAATAGATTTAAATATAGGTGTCCTTATTTAAAGAGATTATTACTAAACTCTAAAGTTTAGTAGTTATAGGCAGGATTTATATCTTTATAGGTTATATAACTATTTATATAACCTCTTATAAGGAGTCTTCTTATTATTAGGTTCCTCTATAAAGATAGCTTTAATATAATATATAATAGACCTTTATAAACCTTATAACTATCCTCCTTCTTAAAAGATCTTAGTCTCCAAGATTTATCTAAGATTCTTTATTTATAATAGGGTGCACTAGTAAAAATCTTTATTTAATAAAAAACCTTTTTTTATAAAAAAAAAATTATAAATAATAAAAAAGATTTACTACTCTCTTCTTTTATAAACTTATATTTATTTATTTTCTTATAAAGGCTTAATTATAGGTAGACCCCTTTAACTATAATATCTTTATTATTATTAAAATCTTTTTATAGTATATTTTAGATTTATATTACTTATTCTTATAATACTTCTATAAATCCCTTAATAGCCTTATTATATAAAATTTTTATAGAGTAGGGTTTAGAGTAGTAGTAGTTTTTATAGAGTATATAAGCTCTTCTTCCCTCTATCTTTTATATTTTCTCTAGTTTTTATTATAAAAGTTTTAGTAAGGGACCTTCTATGATTTATAATATTTAAAAAGAGGTAGTTAATATATTATAAGATATTTTATAAAAAAAATATCTTTTTATATCTTCTTCTCTATATCTCTACTCTTACCTATCCCCTCTAACCTCTTAGAGGTAAGTAAAGGCTTATAAGTCTGTAGTATTCTTACTAATAGTTCTTATAAAAGAAGGAGGAGGCAGCCTTTATACTACTACTACTACCTGCTATGCCCCTCCCCCCTATACCTATTACTACTATCACCACCCCTGCTGGGCCTACTACTGCCCCTACTGCCACCACTACTACTACTACTGCTACTACTATAGCTCCTCCTACCTCTCTTTTCCTTATTCCTGTGGGGGCCTTCCTCCCCCTATATAGGGTCATATATAGGCCCTTTTTTATTAATTTAATAAGAGTGTGGCTAGCCCCTATTATAAGGGGAGCCTCTATCTTTAGGCTGCTACTATCTTTAGTAGGCACTCCTAGGGCTAACTAGGATACCCCTATACCTACTACTAGTAGTATTACTACCTAGGCTTCTAGCCTGATAGTAAAGCTACCCTTAGATACCTAGTTCCTCCCCTACTTATAGGGGAATCTAGTAGTAGTTATAGGGCTCCTACCCTAGATAGGATTATAACCTTTATTAGGCTAGGAGTAAGTATAGATTATTAGAATCCTACTCTACTTTATTAATTAGTATAGCTTTAATATACCTAGTTAGCTAGGAGTCTATACCTAGCTCTATAAGGCTATCCTTATAACTAGAGCTAGGATAAGATCTTTTACTAGCTAGAAGTATAGTACTTATTATAATCTAAGTATAAGCTTAGTATTTATAGTATATATTTCTAGTAGACTAGCTAGAAAGTATAATAACTACCTCTACTATAGTTATAAGAACTACTCTTTTAAATATCCTTAGGTCTAGTAGCTACCTTCCTAGCTCTATAAACTATATTATACTTATGCTTAATATTAGGTACCTTTATAATAGTAGATTTAGGAGTTAGGGATTTTTTTTTATATTTCTTTTATTTATTATTTTATTTTTTTCTTAATAAAGATAAGTTTCTCCTCCTTATAGGGTTCCTTATATAGTCTTTATAGATCTATAGGTAGTATAGGCCTTTCATAGATTCCTAAGTATTATCTTCCTTAGTATATTCCTTCTATTAGATATAATACTCTATAGATTACTCATCTCCTTATAAGTCTAAGATTACCTTTAGATAGTATTTATAGTCCTCTTCTATAGCTTTATAGATAGGGAAGTATTCCTATAAGTTTATCTTTTTTATCTCCTTATATTTATAGAGTATAAAGATATAGAATATATTATATATCTTAAGGCCTGGTAGTAGATTTATATAGTAGGCTAGGTTATCTATATATTCTATAACTTATACTAGACTAGTATTTAACTAATCTAACTTTATGGTTAGTCTAATCTATAATATATTCTTAGTAAAGATCTAGACTTAGTCTCCTACTTAAAATATCTTTATAATATATTTCTTATTATAATATTTCTTTTAGTAGGCTTAGGCCCTTGCTAGAGCCTCCTTTATATATTTATAAGTATATTCTAGTTTAGTTAGTCTTTTTATAATTAACTCTTCTATAACCTTACCCTTTAGTTAATTTATAGAATCTATTACTATTATATAAGGGTTAACACCTATAATTATATAGAAAGATATATTCTTAATAGATACCTAGTATATATTATTATAGATAAACTCTATAATAGGGAGATAGTTAACCTAGTCTTCCTAACTAAAGTTAATATAGGCTTATAAGTACTATTCTAGCATACTATTTAGGTATTTTATCTAGTTATCTATCTATAGATAGTAGGCTGTAGAGAGGCCCTTATAAATTAGGAGATAAAATATAAAATCTATCTAGAAACCTTTTATAAAGATAGAACCCTAGTCTATAATAACCTTTTCTAGGATTCTATAAAGTTAGAAGACTTTATAGATAAGAGTTATTACTAACTTCTCCCTACTAAGGGTGGTCTAGATAGATATAAAATAGCTTATCTTACTAAATTAGTCTACTACTACTAAGATACTATTAAAAGCTTCTTATAAATTTACTATAGAAGTACTTATAGGGAGATCTATAATTAGATCTATAGTAATTTAGATCTAGATATCTATAGGGGTAGGTATAGGCTCTAGTAAGTCCTACTACTTATTCTAAATCTATTATAATCCTTAGCACACCCTATAAGCTATATAGTATTTATAGATAAAGT